GATAGCAAATCAAGCAGAAAGGGTTGCCAAGAAAAAAATGGAATTATTCATTGCTAACTAGAATCAAATGCTAATGGGGGGAAAGTATCCTTGAAGAGAACCTTGACTTCAATTCATTAGAAGGAGATCAAATCAGTTTTAATTATGCAGTTTTGAAAAAGTACACTTATTAGAATCAATTCCAGCCTGACCTCTTTAGCTTTTGATATTCCAGGGATGCCTCCCACTTTGACACAGTTGATATCAACATGCAGAAGGCGAAATCCAAATTTGTGATACTCTATCTCACTCCTTTTCTTCTCCCTTTGGGTTCAAACCCACTCCAGAACTCTAATTTTCCAGCCCCTTTGCTACATACGAAGGCCCAGACCATGACAAAGTGAAATCAGTTCTCCTAGATGTGTGCCAAGTTGGAAGCTGAATCAGCGGATATAATTTGTCTAGATGATCCTTCAAACATTGAGGCAATAACTATGACAAAATCAACAGGGTGTGGACCAATAGATATTGACATCAAATCGAAACAGCAACTTTAAGACTTGTGGACTTCAGCTCCTAGAATTTCCCAGCCAGCATTCTGGGAATTGAAGTCCACGGGTCTTAAAGTTCCCAAGGTTGGAGACTTCTGCTCTAAACCATTGTCTTTCCCAGAGACAGGAAGGAGATAGAGAGAGAGATTGAGAGAGATATAGAAAGAGAGAGACAGAGACAGAGAGACTGGGGGGAAGGGGAGAGAGGGGGGTAGATAATAGATAGATAGATAGATAGATAGATAGATAGATAGATAGATAGATAGATAGATAGATAGATAGATAGATAGATAGATAGATAGATAGATAGGGATAGATAGAAGGAGAGAGAGAGAGAGAGAGAAATACTGTAGATAGATAGATAGATAGATAGATAGATAGATAGATAGATAGATAGATAGATAGATAGATAGATAAATAGATAGATAGATATAGGAGAGAGAGAGAGAGAGATACTGTAGATAGATAGATAGATAGATAGATAGATAGATAGATAGATAGATAGATAGATAGACAGATAATGAGAGAGAGAGAGAGACAGACAGACAGACAGACAGACAACAAGACCCCAATATATAACTTCAGACAATTAGAACAATGTAAAGTTCTTCATATATTTCTTCATATATCAACATGCAGCTTGTTTTTTACACAATGATTCTTTCAACATAAATCATTCTTACCTTAAAAAAACCACAATGCACACAGGTCAGTTTATTTCTCCCCCCCCCCCCATATGTTCTGTATCAAAGGAAAGTGGGGATAGAGTGGGGATTTACACATTTCCATTGGTACCAACAATATTTGTATATTTTGCGACTGTTCCAGAAAGAGGAAAGTTTCGTTCTGAACCTTCAGAGGAAGGAACAGATACATTACCCATTTCAGTTTGGTAAAAAGAAATGTTCTCCATTGAACCATTTTATTTTACAAATATTAAACCTGGGTTAAATGTGATAGTGAAAAATGTTACATCTGCAGAGTAACAACTTCTGGCTTCTTCCAGCTGCTGTGTTGGATAAAAAGGGACATACAAAAAGGGTGATGAAGGATGCTCGGATCACTGTGAAACTCAGCACAAATTATCCCCTTAGGAGAGAATGAGACATTGCTTAACAAAATTAATTGACCATTTTATTGATTCAGTGAACAGATCTCATGCTAAAACTTATGCATCAATTAACACACTGAGGTGAAAAAATTTTATTCAAATTGGATAACATTTTAGCTCATATTATAATTGCACTTCAGTCAGCCATCATCTCAACTTCATGTAAACTTTTTCATGTAAAAATATTTCTTTATGTTCAGGTTGTTTGATGGAATCAATTAACAGTAAAGTGCTGTAAATCTTCTTGGGTTCCTGAAATCTCATATTTTACTCTATGCACCTCTTGAAGTCAGATTGTTAAAGGTTAAAATTTATCCAAAGGGGAAAAAAAACTTACAAAGTGAAATTATCCTGCAAAAACATGAAAACTATCAATTTTATCCAAATTTTCCCAGCAGGGATGCCCTCCAATGTGTTGAAATTTACAATCTTTGGAATTCTAACTGTCATCTTTGTTGGTTACAAATCTGGGATACTGTATGAGAGAATTATGGAATGTGATGTTTATTATAGCCAAAAGATACCATTCGGAAAAGTATTGATATAATCATCAAATCATGGCACTGGAAGGGACCTTGGAGGTCTTCTAGTCCAATCCAGTCCAAGGCAGAGGTCCTTATACCATCCTGATCAAATGGTTGTCAAGTCTGTTTTTGAAAACCTCCAGCAATGGAGCACTTCACAACTTCAAGAGGCTAGCTATTCCATATTCTCAATGTCAGGAAATTTCTCCTTAGTTCTAGATTAGATCTCCCTCTGACGATCTTCCACTCATTGCTTCTTGCTATTTCTCTTCACCAACATTTTACAACGATAATAAACAAACTGTGATATAACCAGAATTGTAGGCGGTAGTCTTTTTACACTATTTTTTTTTACTCCTTCAGCCTATTTTTCTCCTTAACTCTTCTGTGTATTGCTTGGAATGAGAATGGTGGATCCAAAGTTTCAGTCCAAGATTGTACAAAAATTATTTTCTTGTCCCAAAGTTACTCAGTGAATTTCCATGATTCAGTGAGATTTGAACATGATACAACACCTTCACCACTAGACTACACTCTTTTCCACTGAATCTAGAAGGGCTATTTCCATGAAGAATGATATGATGATAAGAATGTCACTTCAGTTACAAGGGCAATGAGTGAACCACTGGGATCCCTAGAAGTTAGGGATAGGTCATCAATTTGGAATATTCTTGATAGTTTGGAATAAATTGTCTCATTTTCAGAATATATTTTTGAAACATAAATTCAAATCTATTTTCGTGTTTAGTAGGATATAAACTGACGTGATGGCAACTAATCAATCAATCAAGAATGTCACTACAATTTGTGTCTTCATGAAACCATAGTTAGATGCATAAAAAGCTGCATCATAAATCTCTGTATATGGGATTAGATTAGAGATAGAATTCATTTGGTGTCAATCGAAGAGTAATCCAATGTAATATGAAGCATGGTTAATTTTATTTTTATAAAATTACACTGTGCCAGCTAAACCTTGTTTTGCTTCACGTGAAAGAGTAGCTCCACTCAAGCTTAGGATATCGTACTGATAGCTCAATTTCCAAATCAAAGTCTTATTTTTGCCTTGCAAACAGAACATCTGTTCACACAAGCAAGAATTCCTTCTTTTTTATCTTCCCGAGGTAATGTAATGCATAAAATATTTAAAAGATATGCTAAAACTATCCTTTTATATTAGAATGACTTTAAAAAATCAATTAGCATTTACAAATAGAGCTAATAGCATACATCAGCCCAGCCAGATTTGATTGCACTTCACAAAAAAAAAAAACCACCAAAATGAGACTTAAAATTGAAAACTTATCACTGTGCTTGAAAGAAATTTTGAAAACAAAGCCAACTTTTCACCAATCTGCCATCAGGATCAATTTATGTCTCTTCAAGTCACTTCACATTCATACATGTGCTTCAGTTCAGTTTCAATCAGGCCAATTATTATAAGCATCTATTACGCCATTTTTTTTTCCTTAGCTATTTCATTACTGTGAAACTTTGGCTATTCTGAAAGCCCAAAAAAACATAAATACTGTTGTGAAGAAGACAACACAAAGGAGAATATTTGTAGCTCAAGGTTGAAATGAGGGGTCTTTGGTGTTCTCTGAGCTTGGTTGTTTTCTTGCAGATGTTTCATTACCCAACTAGGTAACATCATCAGTGGCCCCGTAATGAAATATCTGCAAGAAAGCAACCAAGCTCAGAGAGCACCAAGGACCCCTCAGAAGAAGCCATATATAATCTTCTCATCCAACAATAAAACAGATGATAATGGATTACTCGGAGACAGGAGAACTGAGTCAGTGCATAGATTGGCATCATTAGGAACCCATCAATTCTCACAATCTTTGTTTCATGTCTCCCTCTCATTGCTAATGCAGGTTCATCTGCTCTCTGCAAGCTGGTAAGCAGTAAGGGGAATATGAAAAAGTAGACAGATCACTTTCATAACTCTAGAAAGGGGTAGCAATTGGGATCTCAGGGCAAGGACCCAGGAAATGTGATGGGACTCTCTGATATATCTAGAATCTCTCAGCATATATCTAGTAGGCTAGACAAAGGCTGTCATAGTTTGGCCATGTCATGTGAACTGACTCACTTGAAAAAGCCATCATGCTGGGAGTGATCAGCAGAAAAAAAGGAGAAGGGGGCTGCCCTAGGACCCATTGGCTGAACACCATGAAGGATGACACCAGGATGACCATGGAGGATCTGAAGACGGCAATGTGGGATAGAAGGGCATGGAAATGCTAATCCAGAGAGTAGCCAAAGATCGGACATGACTGAATGGCTGATGATGATGACAAGATAGCTGTAGCTTGGGCTTGATTGATGTCAGGCCAAGCTCAGAGGCAACACAGAGAAATCCAATAGGGTTCGATCCTTTATTTGTTTACACCAAATAGACAGAATCTTTTTTTGAAGGCAAAGTGATGGAGCACCAATAATCCAAGTCTCCAATAATTCCAGTTTCCAGCCAAGAAATCCAGGAACCATCAGACAGATTTACTTGAAAATCCCAAACCTACTCAGAAAACAAAATTGCTTACTTACTTGGCTCCTCTCAGAAATACTTATAGAAATCATGACCATTAAAAAAAAACAATGAAACAATGTAAATATTAGAATCTGTGTGCCTAATCTACTATTTGCCACTTGGGAGATTCCACACCATTACTTAATACCCTTGGCACAATATCACTCGTTCTAAAAATAAATAGGAAAAACATATGTCTATGGAGATTCTCAGTCATCCAGGTCATGGTTGTCCCAAAGGTGGTTTTTCAAGAGGCAACTGGACTTCCTTTGTTTTTCCTTGAAGACGTTTCGCTTCTCATCCAAGAAGCTTCTTCAGTTCTGGTCCAGTTCAATTCAGTGCGCAGAACTGAAGACTCTCCCTGGATGAGAAGCAAAAGGTCTTCAAAGAAAAACAAAAGAAGTCCAGTTGCCTCTTGAAAAATCACCTTTGGGACAACTAAGAAGACAGTTCTCCTTCCTAGGTGGTAGCTAAGGAGCATCCTCCTTGCCTTTACTCAAGCTCCTTTAGGATGGTGTGTCCAACCAGATAGAAGAGAAGACCTGAACTCAGCACTAATGGTATCCCAGCAGCCACAAACATAAAAGACCAGCCGTAATAAACAGATAGAGGAGTATCATCTGGGCACCTTTCACTTCTTTCCAGTAATATGTATTTACGGAGATCAGCCGCAAATTCCTTCCACACCACAAACATAAATACGAGCACGGTAAATAAGCTTCCTGTGTGACAAAATGAGAGAGAGGGAGAGAGAGAGAGAGAAAGAGGAAAAATCAGAGAGAAGAAAAAATATATTTGACAGTGACAGTGTAAAACATCCTAGCAAGAGAAAAAGTTCCATTCCCTGGATGAAACCAACAGAAAATTGAAGGTAGTCCTTAATGAAGGTTATTGGGACTGGCAACTCTGTCGCCTAAAGTGCAAGATCACGTGACTGTGCTGATTTATAACAGTAGTTCTAGCAATCCCAGTTGGCATTGTTAGATGAATCCCATGCATTTACAATGTCCCACAGTCACAGGGTTGCCATTTGCAACCTCCCACTGGCTTCTTGGAAGCCATCAATGAAGATCACAAGTAGCGATCACATGACTGTGGCATGTTATGATGACCACAGCTACAGAGAGCAATTGTAAGTCCCCTTGTTCTATGCTGTTACAACTGAATGAATGCTTATTGATGAAGGAATCCCTGTACATACCACTAGTTTGATTGGTGACTGTTTAGCTAGCTCCAATGTTTCCCTTTCATTAAAGAAGCTTTAAACTTGGACAAGTTGGTTCCTGTCCTCTGTAAAAAAAATGCCCCAGATCTGCAAAAGTTGCCAGATGCTTTAAAGGGGTGACAGAATTGAAGATCCAGTGTGTACATTCAATTTATGAAGCTTTTGAACCCTATTTCAAATCAAAGGTTTATTTTTTGACACGACTCTTCCTGTTGGAGAAAACCATAGAATCAGAGAAGTTAAAAGTAGTCACTGAGACCCAGAATGGCTTCATCTGCTCTGTGCTTGCTCCAAATATGTTATCCTTATCTGCTGAAATGGATATGATGTTAATTTCTAGATTTAAGTCTCTACTCAACCAAGTCTCTGCTGAATTTATGGGGTCCTTGGTGTTCTCTGAGCTTGGTTGCATTCTTGCAGACATTTCATTACCAAACTAGGTTACATCATCAGCGCTAATCACTGCTTGAATCTAGTCACTATCTTTTAGCCCAATCTGTCTCAGGTATTCATTGGTGAAAGGGTAAAATGAAGAGAAATGTATACACCCTCTTGGACCTATAGTGGAAGGGCAAGTTTAAAGGCAGTAAATAAATCAAATTAGGATGGCTTTTCTCACTCAACTTTATATTTGCTGCAAAGCTATAGATGCACAAATCACCTCACATAAAAAAAATTAGAACAAATAAAATGCCAAAGCCAGTTAAAAGCACCCAAAAGTAGCATGAAGAAACAGTTGGCCAAAGCAAGCCTTTACAGGATATAAGGTAACTGTCAGCTAATCTTCTGCACTTGAAAATAAAAGCTTACTTCAGAATTTCAGCTGAGTAGCAGAATGATCAAATGAAGAAAATTCCACAGAGATTATTAAAATGAGCTTATAAGTATGAATTGTATAAATTCATATTTCCACACCTTTGCTTGTCCTCATTTTTTTTTTCATTTGGACCACATTTCTTCCTATTGTGAAGCAATTGGGATCATTCTAAAAAATGCGCTTAAATTATTTTAAATTGTGCCTCTTTTTCATTGCCATTTTGCTTGATCCCACAGATCTGCATCAAACTCTGTTTTTACATTTCTTATATTGCTGTCTTTGTAGCTTTCTGACTTCTGAGATTTTTATACATACCGGTACTTACATACATACATACATCCTCTTCTCCAAAAGGTCTGCATTGGAATTTGTTTGATCCTGTGTGTTTAACTCACAATTTTCCCTCTCCTTTGTCATTTGCAAGATAGATGTTGTTCTACAAATATTGGGCCAAATGGATGTTGTTGCAATTTTGGATTTTTCTTTTTTATTTAGTGTTATCAATCGGTAATCTCCACCTCACCTAGCATTTTCCTTCCTTCCAACCAAAAGCATTTTAAAAACTTGCACAACAGGACAAAGATAACGAAAGCCTTCTTTTCAACAAGATCTGGTTTTCTGTAGACATCACGCTTTTGGGGGGGAGAGGAGACTCATGTCCTTATCTGACATCTCCAAACTAATGTAATTGGCCCTAGATAGGAGTAGCCTTGAAGACACTCAGAAGTTAGAGTTTATACATTCATCTCCTGATACGTGGGAGCTTCTATAGCAAGTTATATCTATTTTGTGCAACCAATGTAGGTTGCTTCCAGTCCAGTTCAAAGTGTTTGTTATTATGACTAGGTAATAATAAACACCCTTATTGAATCTCCTCCCCATGTAATCTGCCTGTTGTCAACGCTGCTAACATCGGATGTTCTTACTTTGACAATATATGAAGATGCAGCCATTTTCCCTTTAACCTGTGTATTACTTTTAGAGTTAGAATTAAATGGTGCTGGAGGGGAGGGGGAAGAATGTGTATGGGGATTAGTTAGACATAACAATATCTCAGTAGAATATTCTTCAAGGTTGTTTGAAATAAGAGACAATAAGAAATGGCCGGGTTATGGAACTGGAGGGAAAGTTCGCACTTCAAACTAATTGGAGATTAATGACTGTTAATTGGAGGAGGGAATTATGCTTCGATACTATGTGTTTAGGGGAGGAGAATTCAGATTTTGGCCGCACCTATGTACATGCCGAAGCTATGTTGCTCAATTAAAGATTCTTTAAGGTAAACAATGCCTCAAAGTTCTTTGAAGAGTTTCATCTTTCGGAACCGTGACACCTGTCCCGTGTATGTGAGCCTGGGAAAACAGGGAGTGAAGGGTATAGTTCAAAGCAGCTCATCTTTATGGTGGCCCCAACCTATGGAACAGCTTGACCCCCAAGCTAAGGTTGTGTCCATGTTATCTTAACCTTTTAGAATCAAAGCAAGATACTACTGTACTCCTCCATGAAAAATTTGGGGAGCAAGAGATAACAGTTCTTCTTCATGCCAGGTTTTAATTTTGCAATTGTCTTGCTTGACATGAGCTGCTAATTGTGGATTTAGCCTATGTACTTGTGAGACACCCAGAATCCTATCTACTTTAATGGATAGGATAGGATAGGATAGGATAGGATAGGATAGGATAGGATAGGATAGGATAGGAAGATAGATAAATAGATAGATAGATGATAGATAGATAGATAGATAGATAGATAGATAGATAGATAGATAGATAGATAGATAGATAGATAGATAGATAGATATCCTGCCACTGACCTTAAATTCACCTAATTTTGCTGGTTGATATTTCAGGGTGGAATAAATGAGAACACTTCGAGACTGGAAGAATTATTTATAAAACCAATAAAGGTGGGATAAAAATAAAACATATGAAAACAGAAGACAGATACATTGGGGCAGATGTATTGGGAACAAGAGGGAGGGTGGGATATGACTTCCACCCTTTTCTTTCAGAGATACCCACCATAACTGACCCAAATTTTCCCCAAATTTGATCTGCAGCCCACCGAGACGCACAGCATTCAACTTTGCTTTGCTCTCCCTTCTTTTCTTTTTTTCCTTTCAACCCCCTTCTGCCTGTATGCATGAAAGGCATGAGATTAACTCTATATTTGCATCTCAGTGCTTGATTCGGGTTAATTGTCTCTTCTGGAGAGAATTTAATGGTGAGAGAATTGAACCATGATATGAAACTTTTCTCCTTTCTATTCTCATCGCAATTGTCAAGGGGCTAACCAGAAGGCTTTCTAACTTCCAGGAAAGCAGCACCTTCATTCTGAGTAAATCGTGCAACTCAACCCTCCTACCTTCCTTTTGGGGTTCACAGCCTCGTGAAACCTCATTGGCTAATTGCAGAGGGATGTGGGTGAACTCCTGGCTTGCTTTGGAACTTGCGGAATTTATCTATAATTTGCTAATTATAGGGAAATGAACCTCAATTCCCCTTTCTTCTCACCTCCGTGCCTAGCTGAAACTTCAGAACTCTAATAAAAAATAATGAGATGTTGAGATCTTTCCGAGCAAATTTCGAGAGCGCCAAAGCACGTGAAACGCGAACAGTTTATAGCTGTCACCGTATGGAGCTTTTAGAGAGCAGCTTTGAATTAAAACGGTAGGCTATATTTTTCTGCTGATTCCGTTTAAACAACCTCGTGGAACTCTGCTCAAGAGCTGGAAAGAATAATTGAAGACCAAGTTAGTCGTTACCTACCGAGAAAGCTACCTTATCACGAACACAAACTGTTTTTCATTTGGATTGCTACTGTGGTTCAAGGCATATTCTTGGAGTGGACAAGAGTCCACCACAAAATTCCAGGAAGACCGTCTTCAATATTTTTGCTAAAAGAGATGATGGATTGATATATCCTGACTTTCATGATGGGGCTTTGATATGGCATACAGGGAGTTCTTAACTTTTGACCACAACTGAGACATTTGTAAGCGTGTTTTGCCCCATTTTACGACCTTTCTTGCCACAGTTGTTAAGTGAATCGCTGCCATTGCTCACTTGTTAACTGAATCTGGCTTCCCCAATGACTTTACTGATCTGAAGATCACAAAAGGGGATCACATGAACCCGGGGACACTGCAACCATTATAGAGATGAGTCAGTTGTCAAGTTTCTGAATGTAAATCACGTGACCGTGGGGATGCTGCAATGGTCATAAGGGTGAAAAACGGTAATAAGTCCCTCTTTTTCAGTGCAAATTGTTGTAAGTTGAGGACTATCTGTAACTAGCCAGCATTGCCCTGCCTGCTGTTCAAAGAGAAGCAGCAGTAGCATATAGAGAGAAAATTAAAGCATCAACATCTAGACAACACTAGACACAAGTCTCTCTGGCCTACAACCAGTTCATCAGAGATTAAAATCTAGGAAAAAGTTCCTTGGGAAGACTTTGAAGAATGTAGAAGCAGAGAGGATATATAGAAAGCTACAAAGAACCAAGACTGGGTGGAACCAACAGAGGAGATGAAAACTGGGAAGTATGGAAATTGTTGAATAGACTGTGCACGGGTACAACAAAATCCAGAGCAGTGATGAGATTCAGCCAGTTCGCACCAGTTCGGCAGAACCGGTAGCTAATTTTTTGTTGCCCAGGCCCAGAATGGACTTCTCAGAAGC